AGTTGTCCTCGTCAATAGGAGTTTGTTTAAGTGGTTTAGTTTGTTTTTCTCTTACCTGGTCTATAGGAGAATAAGTAGCTTTAGGAGTTGGTGGTTGCACTTCCTAGTTTCAAGCACTTATCCGTTTGGTTTTAGCTCTATAAATAGAGCAGCTTATTGTTGTGAAAATTATCAAATTTTGAGAAATAACAAAGTTCAGTCCTTGTCTCTATTATTTTGTCCTTTTTCTTCCAAGATATTTATTTATCAGTGGTATCAGAGCGGGTTAAGAGAGAGTCACGAAAAAAATGGGAGAGTATAGCAGTAGCTTTCTTCCTGTCTTTTGTATTACAGAGAGAAAAGTGTGGAAGTGTCACAAATTTCATCCCGTATGGCTACTGATAACTTCGTTCAACCTGCCATCCTGCGCTTTGATGGTCACTATGACCATTGGAGTATGTTGATGGAGAACTTCTTGAGGTCCAAAGAATATTGGCAGGTCGTCTCCAACGGAATAGTAGAACCAGCAGCAGGCACAGCAGTGACAGATGCACAGAAAACAGAATTAGAAGGACAATGTTTCAAGGATCTCAAAGCGAAAAATGATCTTTTCCAAGCCATTGATTGTTCAATCTTGGAAACCATTCTTTGCAAGGATACGTCCAAGCACATCTGGGATTCCATGAAGAAAAAGTATCAAGGTTCGGCAAGGGCAAAGAGGCAGCAGCTTCAAGCACTTCGTTCGGAGTTCGATACACTACGAATGAAATCGGGAGAGTTGGTCACAAATTACTTTTCACGGACAATGGCAATCATCAATAAGATGTGGATCCATGGCAACAAGACGGAGGACGTCACCATAGTAGAGAAGATCCTTCGATCCATGACACCAAAATTTAATTTTGTTGTTTGTTCCATAGAAGAATCTCATGATATTGATGAACTTTCAATTGACGAATTACAAAGTTCTTTGATGGTTTATGAGCATAAAATCAACCAGTAGGAGAAAGAGGAGCAAGCTTTGAAAGCCTCCACAGAAAATCATCCGGCCCCAAGGAGAGATAGAGGACGAGGAAGAGGACGAGGTAGAGGTAGTGGCAGAGGCAGAGAAAGCAATGATTGTGGAAACCAACAACAACATCAACATCAAGACAAACAAGTTCAAGGAAGAGGAAGAGGACGAGGAGACCACCACTCGACTACATATAGACCAAGGTCAGCGGACAAGTCCAATGTCGAGTGCTACAGATGTCATAGGTATGGCCACTACAAGTTTGAATGCCGAACTAATTTAAATAGACAACATGGAGAAATGTCTAATCTTGCAGAGAAGGAAAAAGAAGTATCCTTGTTAATGGTTTGTCATGTAAAGGAGGAAACCAACAAGAATTTGTGGTACTTAGACACAGGCTGCAGCAATCATATGTGTGGAGACAAGTCGGCATTCTCTTATTTGGATGAGTCATTTCGTGATAATGTGAAGTTTGGTGACAATTCTAGAGTCTCAGTTATGGGAAAAGGAAGGGTGACAATCCAAACCAAGGGGGATTCTTCTCAAATAATCTCCAATGTGCTCTTCGTTCCAAACTTGAAAACCAATCTGCTTAGTATGGGTCAGTTGCAAGAAAAGGGATACGAGGTTTCTATCAAAGATGGGGTTTGTCGAATTCAAGATGCAAAGTTAGGCTTAATTGCTCAAGTTAACATGATAGCGAATCGTATGTTTCTGCTTTATCTCCACAACATCACTCATTCATGCTTCTCAACCAAATTGAAGGATGCAGCATGGCTATGGCATTTTCGCTATGGTCACCTAAACTTTGGTGGACTGAAGACTCTACAACAGAAAAATATGGTGACTGGTCTTCCTCAAATTACAGCTCCATCTGAAGTTTGTGAAGAATGTGTTGTTAGCAAACAGCACCGTAATCAATTTCCGAAAGGAAAATCATGGAGAGCGAAAAAGGGGTTGGAGTTGGTTCATTCTAATCTTTGCGGGCCAATTGATCCATCTTCCAATGGAGGTAAGAGGTACATAATTACCTTCATTGATGATTATAATTGAAAAGTATGGGTCTATTTTTTGCAAGAAAAATCTGAAGCTTTTGCATCATTTAAAAATTATAAAGTGCTTGTTGAGAAAGAAGTTGGCATCCCAATAAAGGTTCTTCGCACTGATCGTGGTGGAGAATACAACTCCCTTGAATTCGCAAAATTTTGTGAGACCCATGGAATCAAGAGGCAACTTACGGCAGCTTACACGCCTCAACAAAATGGAGTTTGTGAGCAGAAAAATCGCACTATTTTGAATATGGTGCGAAGTCTGTTGCAGAGGAGCGGCATTCCAAAAACCTTCTAGCCCGAAGCAATTAACTGGAGCATTCATATTTTGAATAGGTGTCCCACACTCGCTGTTCAAAATATGACTCCAGAGGAAGAATGGAGCAGACGGAGACCGGGAGTAGATCATTTCAGAATTTTTGGGTGTGTTGGCTATGCTCATATTCCATACCAGAAGAGAACAAAGCTAGATGACAAGGGAGAAAAATGCATTTTTCTTAGTGTTAGTGATCAATCAAAAGCCTATAAGCTTTACAATCCTATCACTAAGAAAATTGTTATTAGTCGTGATGTCGTTTTTTATGAAGAAAGTTTTTGACCATGGAACAACAATGTTGTTAAACAGCAAATACCCGTCAACTTTGATGGAGACAACAAAGAGGAGAGGTAGCAGCCAATAGAAAATGATCAACAAATTCCACCAGATGGTCCGGTAGATGTTCCAAGCTCGCCAACAGCAATAGAACGGCCTCAACGTGTTAGAAGAAGGTCTGCATGGATGACTGATTATGAGGTAACTGAAATTGACCAATCTGAGGACCCACTTACATATTTTGCTTTATTTTCGGATTTTGATCCTACAGTTCTCGAAGAGGCTGTCAAAGAATCCAAATGGTGGAAGGCAATGGACGAAGAAATTGCAGCCATTGAACGGAACAACAGTTGGGAGTTGACTGATCTTCCAAGAGGGCACAAGATAATTGGTGTCAAGTGGGTGTACAAGACAAAATTGAAGGAGAATGGAGAAGTTGACAAATACAAGGCATGCCTAGTAGCTAAAGGCTATAAGCAAGAATTTGGAGTGGATTATAGAGAAGTCTTTGCTCCTGTCGCAAGACATGATACRATCAWATTGGTGATTRCATTGGCWGCTCAACATTCATGGCCTATCTTCCAATTGGATGTGAAATCAGCATTCTTGCATGGTGAACTGCAAGAATGCTTATTTTTGCAACGTATAGATGCTTATTTTTCTAAAGAGGGATTTAAGAAATGTCCATATGAGCACACACTTTTTACAAAGATTGAAGATGGAGGAAAATTGCTCATTGTTTGCTTATATGTTGACGATCTTATTTTCACTGGAAATGAKAGTGCCATGYTTGAAAGTTTTAAGAAGTCCATGATGATTGAGTTTGATATATCTGACCTTGGAAAGATGCATTATTTTTTGGGTATTGAAGTGGTGCAATCTGCAGCTGAAATTTTTATTTCACAAAGGAAGTATGTGCAAGAAATTTTGGATAGGTTTCAAATGAAAATTTGCAATTCTGTTAACACGCCAACTGAAGTGGGTTTGAAGCTTGTTCGAAATCCTGAAGGAAGGAAGATTGATAGCACTCCTTACAAGCAAATTGTAGGAAGTCTAATGTATTTAACAGCTACAAGACCTGACATAATGCATGTTGTGAGTCTCATAAGCAGGTTCATGGAGTGTCCGAAAGAGATTCATCTCTTAGCTGCAAAAAGAATCTTTCGATACTTGCAAGGGACTGCTAGTTATGGGCTGTTCTA